AAAAAAGAAAGAAAGAAAGAGAAGTACCCCTTCACAGTTGCCAATGGGATTTTAGGATACTTGTACTTTTCCCTCCTATTTCTCATGTTAGGCTCATACAGTTTTTGAGTGCCAGTGATGTATTTTTTATTTTAAATAAAAAAGCACTTGGGCTTCAATGTCTTATTGCTTTATCTATTCAATGCTATTTCATGTTTTTTCATATTAGCTTTTTGCTGGATTATATCCTTTAATAATTCAAAGCAGCTCTGAGGTGGCCTTCTGTCCAGCTGTTTCTTAGATAATACTTTTTTTATCCTTTTTTTTTTTTTTACTTTTGAGTGCTAATATTTTGTAGAGTTACTGTTCATTGTGTTCTTCCAGAACGTAGTGAAGTTTCTGTGCCTTCTAACCTTAATGATCCACGGAATCCACCCATTCCTATTTTACCCTCTAAAATATCTCAAGATTCTAGTTTTCAATTGAAACATTTTGGGAAATAACCTGAATAATCCATCGTGGAACCAAGTGGTAGTAGTAGAGGTGGCCTCTGCCATCTGGTTGGGTGTGGCCAGTGGCGGGAATTTGAGAACAGGAGAGATGGGTCAAAAAATTGAGAGAGCCAAGGGTGACTCATCATCCCTGGGAACTTTTCATTAATGATTGAAAATAATAAGGAAACTTAGAGGAGTGAGCCTGGTATTTGGGATGCTTTTTATTTAAGAACATTTGCTGATTCTGGTAGATGTCCAAAGGTGTCTAACTCTGGTTTTAATTTTCATTTTATTGATTACTAATGAAATTAAACATGTTTTCATATATATTTTTTTAGCCATTTAGGTGTACTCTTTGTGTGATATGCCTGGACAAATCTCTTGAACAATTTTCTGCTGAGTTGTCTCTTTTCTAGCTAATACTTATTAGAGTTCTTCCTAGGGGTGCCTGGGTGGCTCAGTCAGTTAAGCGTCTGACTTCAGCTCAGGTCATGATCTCATAGTTCGTGAGTTCAAGCCTTGCATTGGGCTTAGTATTGACAGCTCAGAGGCTGGAGCCTTTTTCAGATTCTGTGACTCCCTCTCTCTCTGCCCCTCTCCTTCTCGCATTCTGTCTCTCTCTCAAAAATAGTAAATAAACATTAAAAATAATTTTAAAAAAGAGTTCTTTCTATGTTCTGGATGTATATCCTTTCTTGATTATGTATACTTAAAATGTCATCTAATACTCAGTGGGTTGTCAGTTTTTGCTTTCTATTTTTAGAGGTTCTGCTCTTAAGTATATACACATTTAAAATTATTCCATCTTCCTGGAGATTTTGACTATAATATTTTTTATGGTTATGTAATATTCTTCTTTTGCATCAGTAACTCTTTCTGCTCCAAGGTTAACTTTGTCTGATATTTACGAATCTTTGGTTTAGGATTTGCCTGATGCATCTTTTCTCATTCTTTTACTTTACACTATGTTGTATTTATTAAGATTTACCTTTAAAATAGGAAGTAATTAATTTTTGGCTTTTAAAAATCTGGTCTGAAACCTTTGTTACTTATTACACATAATACACTTACTCATATATTTGGAATTAAATCTACAGTCTTACTACTGTCTTTCCCGAAAGAAATAATAGTTCTAATTCTTACCAGAATCATATAAATCAGATATACATGCTGTGATTTTTTTAGAGTTTTAAGTAAACACATAGTAAAAGACTAAAATGACCAGATCAATCGAAGGGAGAAATACAATAATAAAAAAAAACACTCATTGAAAAAATATGCACATTGAAAATAATGCAAGAAAAGGGAGATAAGAGAACACAGAGCAGTTGCCAAAGAAAATAGAAAACATTTTTTTATTGGTTCATGTGTTTAATCTATTTACTCTCTTTTATGGTATTGATTTCCTTAAATGTTCTATGTCTATTTCCACTTTAACTTGGTGATAGATTTTTTCATGTCAGTGAATATACATTTTGCTCACTACAGCCTATGTCTGATGACCATGAGGGAAGCACTAAGCCAGGTCGTATGTGCAGGTGGATTGAGACTTAAGTGGGAGAGCACCCTGTTTCTCTAGACCAAGGTGCCCCCTGAATCTCCATCATCAGAATCCTGCTCTAGGGGGTATAGTAATAGTCAGGACGTTCATGTGCACGCCACTTCCATAAGACCCTTCTCCTACTTTCTCTTCTTCCCCTGTTATTTTGGAGGTTTGAAGTTATTCCTGCCTCCATTCTGCTTCTCACGTCCTGTGTATTTGCATGGAGCAGAATGTAATTTTGCTTGGGAAACTGTTCTTGAACCTGGGGCCTAAACCCCATTGGTGTGGTGTGCCTGGGTGAGGGAGAAAGGGGCAACTGACCCAGATCTTTCCAACATTACTTTAAAAATCAGTGATCTAAACAACTGCCCTGGGCTCTACCCTACTCCCTATTACTTACAGTTTCTGACACTGAACTTGAACTCTGTCTGTTTGCTCTTATTTCTATGGCAGTTTTCATCTGTGCTAACTCTGGGGCAGAGAGAGTCTATGCATGCTTCTCTGTCAGGTCATTTCTACTCTTCACTGTGTTTCCATAATTCTTCAAAGTCACTTGCCAGCTACTGCTGTCTCTAACTTTTTTGTCATTTCATGCCATCTGTGGTGGGAGAGGAGATTGACCCTTGCCCTCAGTCCGGCATCTCAGCCTCTTGAAGTCCTGAAAGTCTCTGTAGCCTTGGGCATCTGTGATGGCACATTTTCCTAGTTTTCCTAATACCTTCCTAGCTCTCTTTTTTAATCCTCTGAGAAATTCTACTTCTACTAATACTGGTTTTATCTTCCTTCAAGGGGTTTAGTCTTCTCTATCTGCACTATGACCCTGGGTGATCTCACCCTTCTGCCTGAGATAGTCGCCTGCTCTCACTTCCTGGCTCCCTCCCTCTGTGTATCCAACTCCTAACCATCAACCTTATTTGTTTTTTATTTTTTTATAGTTTATTTATTTTTGAGACAGAGAGCATGAGCCAGGGAGGGGCAGAGAGAGAGAGGGAGACACAGAATCTGAAACTGGCTCCAGGCTTTGAGCTGCCAGCACAGAACCCGATGCAGGGCTTGAACCCACGAACCGCAAGATCATGACCTGAGCCAAAGTCGGACGCTTAACCAACTGAGCCACCCAGGCGCCCCACCATCAACCCTATTTGAAGGCCTTTATAAAGTTCAAACTAAACATGCTCAAAATTTTACTATTTGTACCCGTAATTTAGTCCCTGCTCTTGTCTGTTTCCTTTGTGAGTGGTCCTATCACTCATTCAGCTCCCTAAACCAGAACCTGAGGGTCATCCTTTCCTGTTGTTGTCTTTGTCCTATGCATCCATCCTACCGCCAAGCACAACCATTTCTACTCTCCAATCATCATTCAAACTCATTTGCTTCTCTCCACCTTCATCAGCTCCAGTGGCCATTCAAGCAACTATCATCTGTTCCATATATAACTGTAGCTTCCATGAAGCTACCTCTGTGCCTTCAGTGTTATTTCTTCCTATTGTTTCTCTACATGGAGCCCGGCACAATATTTCTGAAAAACTCTTTTTATGTTTTCATTTTGAGAATAGTAACTCCAGAGGATTCCAAACAAGAGTCTTCTGAATTAGACGGAACTGTCTTTCCATCACACCTACACCAACTCTATGCATATTTCAGCTTCTGTGAGCACCAAGTAGACATACATCTTAAGCACATGGCCTCATACTTAGTAAATATCTCATCAGTTTTAAACAGATTGAATTACATTCATCAACATGAAGACTTTATAAATTCTCATTACTAGGATAAATTCCAAAGTCCTGAAGGTGATGTAAAGCCCTGGATTCTCTGACTACTCTTACTGGCTGCTCCTGTTCTATTCTTCAGTGACTATGAAGCTTTTTCTGTTTCTTGACCGCACCATGATCTCTCTTACCCTTTGGTTTTTCTTCATTTTACTGATTGTTTTTGGAAGGCCCTTCATCCCCTAACTCTCCTTCCATTCTCCTGCTCATTCATCAGGGCCCCAGTTAGATGCTTCTTCTTCTGGAAGTCTCCTCTGCTTATCCAGAGTTGGATTAATTAATCCAATCTATGAGCTCTCTTAGACTGCTCTACTCTACTTTGCAGGGAACTGGTTATCCTGGATTATGGTGATATATGTCCTTGTTTGTATGCCTGGTGATCTGCAAGCTCCTTGGGGGCAGGACTGTCTCTATCAATTTTCACCATTTAAAAACATTGTTTTTAATATTTATTTTAGGAGCACGAGAAAGACAGACAGCACGAGTAGGAGAGGACCAGGGTGGTGGTGGAGACTTAACTGACTGAGCCACCCAGGCACCCCCTTTTTTTCACCATTTTATCTTCAGTACACACTGATGGCTCAAAGTAATTTTTCCACAAGAAAATGTTTAAGGAACAAGCACTGAACACCACTAGCTTTCTCCTCCATATAAAATACTGAGTTCCTATTGCAAATGAGAGACCTTATGTTCAGAGAAATAATAAGGCCATGAACAAATGGTTGGAATTGGCTTTGTCTTAGTCACATACCAGGCTCTTTCTATGATACTAGATGCCTCTTTGCTTTAGAAACATGTCTTAATTAACTATTGCTATGCAACCAACTTGTTGCCACTTTATAGGCATTCATCCCTAATGTTGGACTTTCATGTAAATAATATATTTAAATCGTATATAGAAGGGTAACTTGCAGTTTTCACCATGTGTGAAATTGTGAAGAGGGCTTTTTAAATGCCATTAAATTAGTTTGTGTATATTAAGGCCTTAGAGCAGTCTGACCCACAGTCAGTCCTCAAACACTGATTTCCCCTGATATACACAGTAATAATACACTGTATACCATATACACAGTATTATACATACTATTATTTTCCTACCAAAGACGTATGAGGCAGTCACTGCTTGTTCAGCAAATTTCACAGGAGGCATCCACACCCATTTTAGGGACACTGAATCAGTTAGTGCTTCCGACATAAAAAAGGAACCAGCTGTGCATCTGAGAAACACTCGGCACCGCCTTTGGGGTTCAGAAAACCTGCAGGAGAGGAATGCAGATTTGACCCGAGTGAGGTGTGTGGCAGGAGCAAGCATTGTGCGTGGACCGACGGCACTTGCCCCGAGTCTCCGGCACTCATAGGAAACACTGCAGATATTGCAGTCTTGAAGAAAGGTAGGGACCTGCCTTCCTAGGCTCTGGGGCTGATGGTTTTCTCATCCACTCGTTCTAGGAAACCTGGGAGTCAAATGTGAGAGGATCAGGTCACTTCTCAGAGCACGAGCTAGTATTCCGGGTTGAGGTGGATCAAGTTCACTTTTAAATGTACGTTTGTGGGACAAGGTTGGGGAGCATTCTTTGCTGCAGAGGATGGGGGTAAGGACAGGCTCCTAAAGGCTGATGCTAGAAAAGGCAGTTTCAGTTACTTTTGATCTCTCCATCCCTGGGCTCTTAGGAAACCAAAAGCAGTATTTTATGCTTTTCTCTAGGTAGTTCATGTACTCTTGACAAGTCCCCTTCTTCTGTGGTCTTTATTCTCTGTCTCTGACATCATTTTTATAATTCAGCATCCAGAAGAGATCTGCTACGTGCAGAATTTGGTAGAGACGTTGTCAGACGAAGTGGGGGGCCCATCTTATGCCAGCCCTGGGGTAGACTGTGGCCTGACCTAGTTCCCCAGCCCTATTGGGTACTGTTCGTGAGACGCCAAGCCATGAACCCAAGCTGCCTATGAGGAGGTCCACTAAGGAAAGAGTATTTGTGGATCTGTGACATCCCTGAGATCAGAAAGAAGCTTGCTGCAATTATGCCCAATGCGTGTTCCTCAGATGAGGTCAGTGAAACCCAGAGAAGGGAAATAACTTATCCAGACTCACACTAGTTAGTAAAAGATTCAGGACCGGAGCCCAGACGTCTTGATTCCTAGTACAGACTTTTTTCCTTACCCAGGTCCCTGTGTCTACTACCCCATCATCATCCTCAATCAACTGTCCAAGTTCAGGCCTCCTTTAGGATCTCTATTCCATTTTATACGTGTGACAAAGAAGGGGAGGCGGCTCCTTCAGACTGCTGTTCCCATGCTCCCTCCTTGGCAGTTATGACCCAGGAGGAAAATGGTGATAAACATTAGGAAATAAGAAATGGGTGTCAGTGCTGACCCACAAGGACACTCGGCATCAGTGGAGGAAAAGTGGGGAGTTTTCTAGGCTTCTCCACATCTGAGGCAGGAGCAGCAAAAACAGGAAGACACTATAGCTGTTGGTAGCCCGATGTAAGTCACAAATGATAAGGTAAGCCTGTGGTTTGGAATCTTCCCCAATCTGGAGGAAAAGAGGATCCAAAACTTCTCTGTTGTTTTGGCTTCCTTTCTATTTGAATATAGGGAGATTGAATCCTGGAGGGTAAACACACTTTTGTCCTTAGGGCATTTACCTTCCATAAGTAATTAGCACATGAATTTGTGTGGAAAGAAGGTAGGAGGCAGTTATGTCAATTTATAGTGAGTTCTTTAGAAGGAACAGAGCGTCAGCCCCCAGTGACCAGGACCAGATGTATGTTACCACAAAAGATGGAAAGACCGCTAGAGTCATTTGAAAGCATTATTTTAATATAGTGTCTGCTCGGGGAAGCTCACAGTCTTATTAGATATAGAGGAAGAACCACCACAGATGTTAGACAAGACAGGATCTACATTTCCTAAATCGTAGTCTGAAGGTATGTCTGAGAGATCAATGCAGACATTTATTTGCATTAAAAAGAAGTACACCGAAGTACTCATTCAGCTGGACTAAGAAGAATTATCAGTAGTTGCTTTTACAATACCTTTGGCCTCTATGATGGAAGAAAGAAATAACTGAGATGTTTTCTTTTTTCCATCTTTATTAAAAGATAATTGACATACATTACTGGATAAGTTTAAGGAGGACAGCATGATGGTTTGGTTTATGTATTGTGAAATGATTACCAGAATAGGTTCAGCTAACATCCATCTTCTCATATAGATACAATAAAAAGAAAAAAAAAAGAAAAGAAAAAAATGAAAAAGACAGTCTCTCTTTCTTAGGATTTACTCTCTTAACACGTTTCCTCTACCTCACATAGCCATGTTAGCTGTAGTCAGCCCATTGTACATTGCACTCTTAGCTCTTATTTATCTTACAACTGGAAGTTTGCATTTTTTTTTTACCAGCTTCCTCCATTTCTCCCCACCCTCACACTTTGTCTCTGGTAACCACAATCCTGACCTCTTTCTATGAGTTTGGGTGTGTGTTTTTTAAAAATAAGATTCCACATGTAAGTGAGATCATACAGAATTTGTCCCTGACATATTTCACTTAGAATAATGTCCTCAAGGTCCATCTATGTTGTTGCAAATGGTGCAAATGGTGCAAATGGATTTCCTTGTTTTTTTAATGGCTGAATAATCCAGTGGGGTGTGTGTGTGTGTGTGTGTGTGTGTGTGTGTGTGTAATGCTGCCATGAACAGATGAAGGTACAGATAGCTTTTCAAATTAGTATTTTTGTTTCCTCTTGATATATTCCCAGAACAGGAAAAGTGGAATTGCTGGATGATATGGTCATTCTTTTTTTTCAATATTTTGAGGATCCTCCATACTGTTTTCCATAGTGGCTGCACCAATTTACATTCCACCAGCAGTGCACAAGAGCTTCTTTTTCTGCCCATCCACACCAGCTTTGTTCTCTCTTGTCTTTTCGATGATGGCCATTCTAACAAGTGTGAGGTGATATTTCATTGTGATTTCAATGTTCATTTCCTTAATGACTAATGATGTGGAGCATCTTTGCATTTACCCGTTGGCCTTTTGTGTAGCTTCTTTGGAGAAATGCCTTTGCAGATCCTTTGCCCATTTTTTAATTGGGTTACTTTTTCCCAATTGAATTGTATGAGTTCTTTATGTATTTTGGACATTAACCCCATATCAGATATATTGGTTTGCAAATATTTTTTCCCCATTCTATAGGTTGTCTTTTCACCTTGTTGATGATTTCTTTTTTTTTATTTCTAGGAGAGAGAGAGACAGCGTGAGCAGGGAAGGGTCAGAGAGAGAGGGAGTCACAGACTGAAACAGCCTCCAGGCTCTGAGCTGGCAGTCAGCACAGAGCCCGACGCGGGGCTCGAACCCACCAACCGCGAGATCATGACCTAAGCGAAAGTCGGACGCTTAACCGACTAAGCCACCCAGGCGCCCCTCACCTTGTTGATGATTTCTTATGATATGCAGAAGCTTTTGGTTTAATGTAGTCCCACTTGTTCATTGTTTTGCTGCTGGTACTCTGGATATCATATCAAAAAATTCATTATCAAGGCTCATGTCAAAGAGCTTTATTCCTGTGTTTCCTTCTTGAAATTTTATGGTTTCAGGTCTTACATTGAGGTCTTTATTCATTTGAGTTAATTTTTGTGAATGGTGTAACATATAGGTCCAGTGTAATTCTTTACCATGTAAACATCCCATTATCACGGCACCATTTGTTGAAGAGACTGTCTTTTCTCCATTGAGTATTCTTGGCTCCTTTGTCAAGTAGTAGTTGACCATATGGGTTTATTTCTGGGTTCTTAATTCTGTTCTATTGGTCTATTTGTTTGTTTTCATTACAGATGAAAAAAGCTATACTATAGCTTTATAGTATAGCTTGAAATCATGAAGTGTGATGCCTTCTGCTTTGTTCTTTTTCAGTTTTCCTTTGGCTGGTTGGAATTTTCTGTGATTTCATATAAATTTTAGGAGTTTCCTACTTCTGTAAAAAATGCTATTAGCATCTTGATAGGGAATGGACTGTGGCTTTTGGTAGTGTTGTCATTTTAACAGTATTGACTTTTCCAATCCATGAACATGGAATACTTTTCCACTTATATGCCTTTAGTTTCCTTCATTAATATCTTGCAGTTTTCAGCATAAGGATTTTTAATCTTCTTAGTTAAATTTATTCAAAAGTATTTTGTTGTTTTTGATGCTATTGTATTTTTTTTTCAAATTTTTATTTAAAGTCTTGTCAGTTAGATGCTATTGTAAATGTGATCAGTTTCTTCATTTCTTTGTAAATTCCTTGGTTGGTTTATAGAAACACTACTGATTTCTGTGTATATTAATTTTGTATCCTGCAACTTTATAAATTCACTGATTAGGTCTAATGGTTTTTTGGTTGAGTCTTTAAGATATTCTATATATAAAATCATGTCATCTGCAAATAGAGACAATTTTACTCTTTTCTTTCCAATTCTGATATCTTTTATTTCTGTTTCTTGCCTGATTGCTCCAGCTAGAACTTCTATATTGAAAAATGTGGTGAAAATGGGCAATTTTGTCTTGTCCCTGATCTCAGAAAAAAAGCCTTCAACCTTTTATCTCTGAATATGATGTTAGCTGTAGACTTGTTATATATGGCCTTTATTATGCCTAATATGTTAACAGTTTTTATCATGAATGGATATTGAACTTTGTCAAATGCTTTTCATGTATCTTCCTGAGATGATCATGATTTTTTTCTTTCATTCTATTACTATGATGTATCACTGATTGATTTGCATATGTTGAACCATCCTTGCATCTCGAGAATAAATTCCACTTGATCATGGTGAAAAATGCTTTCAATGTGTTGCTGAATTTGGTTTCCTAGTATTTTACTGAGAAATTTTGCATCCATCAGGGATATTGGTCCCTGGTTTCTTTACTAGTAGTGTCCTTTTCTGGTTTGGGGATCAGACTAATGCTGGCCTCATAAAACATAAAATGAAGTTGGGGGTTTCCCCCTTTTTTATTTTCTTTGACAGAGTTTGAGATGTTAGTTCTTTAAGTTTTGGTAAAAGTTACTAGTAAAGCCATGATGGTGCTAGGCTTTACTTTGTTGGGAGAATTTTTTTTATTAATGATTTTATCTCCTTACTAGTAATTAGTCTATTCAGATTTTCTGTTTCTTCCTGATTCAGTTTTGGTAAGTTGTAGGTTTCCAAGAATTTTTGCATGTCTTCTAGGCTGTTCATTTTGTTGGTATATAGTTGTTCATAGCAGCCTCTTGTGATCCTTTGAATTTTTATGATATTAGTTGTAATGTCTCCTTTTTCATTCATAATTTTGTTGACTTGGGTTTTTCTCTTTTTTCCTTGGTAAGCCTAGCTAAGGGTTTGTCAATTGTATATTTTCAAGGAATCAACTCTTAATTTGGTTAATCTCTTCTATTGTTTTTTAATTCTATATGTCATTTATTTCTGCTCTAATCTTTATTATTTCCTTTCTTCTGCTATCTTGCTTCTTAATGTAGGTGTTTATTGCTATGAACTTCTCTTTCAAAATTGATTTTGCTGCACAAGTTCTGGTATGCTGTGTTCTCATTTTTATTTGTCTCAAGAAACTCTTTTATTTCCCCTTTAATTTTTTTTTTTTTGATCCAGTGGTTGTTCAAGACTATTGTTTCATTTCCTTGTGTTCATGAATTTTCCTGTTTTCCTCTTGTTATTGATTTCTAGTTTTATGCCATTGTTGTCAGAGAAGATGCATGGTATGATGTTAATCTTGAATTTTCTAAGGATTGTTTTGTAGCCAAACCTATGGTCTATCCTAGAAAATGTTTCATGTACACTTGAGAAAAATGTATATTCTGCTGTTATTCTAGTTTCTTTGATCATCTATAGAACCAAGTCTGGAAAATACTCTGACTAGGGGACTCAAGGGGGTGCAGATCTGCCTGAATTGGATCCTTTAACAAGGTTTGTGTCTTTGTTCATAAAGGATATTCATCTGTAGTTTTCTTTTTTAAATGATGTCCTTTCTGGCCCCAAACAATGAATTGGGAAGTATCCTTCCTCTTCCAGTTTTTTAAAGAGTTTAAAAAAAGGGTTATTGATAGATAAACCAATAACCCTTTTTTTATGGGCATGGAGGAGGACACTTGTGGGGATGAGCACTGGGTGTTATATGGAAACCAAGTTGGCAATAAACTATTTAAAAAATATATATATATATATATATATAATAAAGCCGATTTCATAGAAAAAAAGTTAAAAATTTTTTTAAAGCGTTATTGAATTTTTAAAAAATCCTTAATAGAATTCACCAATAAAACTATATGGGCATGAGCTTTTCTTTATGGGAATTTAAAAAATTCTTAATTTAAATTCTCATTATAGTTCTTTAAAGCTTTTGTATTTCTTCTTCCATCAGTCTCTAAAAGACTTTAACTGTCTCATCTAAGTTATCTCATTTATTGGCATATAGTTGTTCATAGTATTTTCTTACAGTTCCTTTTTTTTCTGTAAGGTTGGTAATCATGTTGCCTTTTCCTTCCTGATTTTAGTCATTTCTTCTCACAATTTTTCTTATTCAGTCTAGATAATGGTTTTCCAATTTTGTTCACCTTTTCAAATAATACCCCATCACAAGCATTCATTGTTGTTGTGGCTATTTGTCATTGCTGTTTGTGGTTGTGGTGGTGGTTGTTGTGTGGTGACCACCAGATCTCTTCTGTGAAGTCTATTTTCTTTATAATCTGTTCACGTTAGAATTTCTACTTGATAAGTTTAATGATCAGCTAATGATTTAACAGATATCTTTAAGAGCCCCTCCCCCCAACCCAAAGTCTCCTATCCTTTTGTCGGAGATGGTGTGTGTGTGTGTGTGTGTGTGTGTGTGTGTATGCATTGGGCAACTTTAATGCTCCAGTAGTTTATACCTCTATCTTAGCCTTTCCTTCTTGCTTGCATAGAGCCTCAAAATAAGCCACAGTTGAGGAATTAGGGACTCCTCAGGTTTTTCCTGGGCACACATACAACATATGTGTGTGCATGGCCTTCTAGATTCCTGGGCACACATACAACATATGTATGTGCATGGCCTTCTAGATTCCTAGGGATACATTAGGAATCTTTCAAAGATCCCTGCAAAAATCTCATTCCTGTTTATTTCCTTTAATTATTTTTAATCCAGATTTTTCTTTATTCCAGCTGTATCACTGCCTCAAGAAGCTGTGAATTAAACTATTTCTGATGATTGCTTTTAACAAACATCTTGAGGCTAGGGCTTCTGCCACAGAACGAGCCTTGAGTCGTATTAAGTAGAGATAACATCTAAAAATGGAGCTTTTCCAGATGTCTTCCAAACAGGTCAAACAGTGACAGTTCTCTGGGCATGGGGCTTTTAAAGGATTTCCAATTTTGCTCTAGCTCCTCCACAGGATGTTAAGCGGCTGGCTTCTATAGCTGCTATGGTTCTAAGACTTTTAATTTTCAGGGCGACACAGTTGGAAGAGGGTAATGGGAGAAAGACAAGTTAAAACATGACAAAGCTCAAAAAAACCAACAGAGAGAATCAATGAAACCAAGAGTTGGTTTTGTGAAAAGATCAACAAAATTGACAAACTTTTAGCTAGATTAACTAAAACAAAAAGGTGAGTCAAGTAACTAAAATTATAAATGAAAGAGGATATTACTACTGATTTTATAGAAATAATAAAAGGATTATAAGAGAGTACTATGAGCAGTTGATTCCCCAAAACTTAGATAACCTAAATGAAATGGACACATTCCTAGAAACACACAGTCTACCTAGACTTACTCATAAAGACATAGAAAATCTGAAGAAACCTATTACTAGAAAGAAGATTGAATGAATCATTGAAAACCTCCCAACAAAGAAAAGCCAAGGACCAGATAGCTTCACTGGTAAAACTTGCTAAACATTTAAAGTACAATTAACACCAATCTTTATCAAACTTTTCCAAAACATTCAAGAGGAGGGAATACCCTGTAAGTCACTCCACGAGGTCAGCCATACCCTGATACCAAAGCCAAATAAAGACATGACAAGAAAACTACAGAGCACTGTTCCTTATAATTATTGATACAGGTATCCTCAACAAAGAACTAACCAAATTTAACAGCATATTCAAAAGTCCCACCATGACCAGGTGGGACTTATACCTAGAAATTAAGGATAGACCAACATATAAAAATGGATCAATTAATATGCCATATTAACAAGATGACATAAATAATCACATGTGATCATCTCGATAGAGAAAAAGCATTTGACAAAGTTCAACATCCTTTCACGATAAAAAAAAAAAAAAATCCAGGAACTAGAAATAGAAGGAAACTACCTCAAAATAATAAAGGCCAGATATAAAAAATCCATAGTCAACATGATACTCAATGATAAAAGAATGAAACCTTTTCCTCTAGGATCAGGAACAAGGCAAGGATGCCTGCCTGATTTTGCCACTTTTATTCAGCATAGAAATTGAAGTCCCAGTCAGAGCAATTCAACAAGATAAAGAAATAAAAGGCATCCAAATTGGAAAGGAAGAAGTGAAATGATCTCACTTCACAGATGACATGTTTTTATATGTAGAAAACCCTAACAATTACACACGCACATGTACACACACACACAACTGTTAGAACTAACAAATAAATTCAGGAAAGTTTCAGGACACAAAATCAACACACAGAAATCAACGGCATTTCTATACACTAACCATGAACAATATGAAAATGAATTCTTTCCCAGTTCACTCTTTCACCTTGTGCTACAGATGAAAGCGCATCCATTTTCAAGCTTGAGACTTTTGTGGAGCTTCAGTGAGGCATAAATGGTATCAGAATTGATGGTGGCTTTGCAAAGACAAGTTTCACTTCCCTCAAAATTTATGGATGTGAGCCATGCAACATCTGAATACAGATGCAAATGAGTAGATTAAGTGTTCAGGTGGTTTAAACGTATTTCCACATAACCTGACTGGGATTATGGGAGAAGAAGTGGCATAAGAGTAGTATGTTTGTCCTCTGAGTCTCAGAAAAATAATATTATGCACCCTTACTATGCATTAGCTAATCAGGATTTAAAACGTTTTAGTGGGGCAAGAAATTTAAATTCTCAGTGCTAGGGCTGTAATTCGGGATCATGAATTCCCTCCACAAAGTCCAGAGTTTATAAGAATGAGATATGAGATTAAATAAATCGTAGTTAGTAAAGATGAGGCTGGAGAAAGTTTCCAGCTCTGAGAATGTAACTGCACAGGAGCACAGGTGATTCTATGTAATTTATTCCTATTATAAAATGGGAATGATAGGTGTCTTTCATGGAGAAATGGCTATCATCAAGGGGTTATGCAGTAACAGGGACAGAGCTAAATGCAGACTTCATGTATTTGAGGGGCCCTCACATACACCTCCATTCTCTCTAGATTTCCCTCTCTTCAGTACTTTCTGGTATCTTGAAGACATATGGCATTTCTCTCTCTGTCTGTCTCTCTCTCTCTGCTTCTGTCCTTAAGCTGTTTCTTGTTTCTCTTTCCTGGCTGGCTCTTGCAAGAAGTACATTTTGCAAGGGCACCTGGGTGACTTAGTTAAACATCTGATGTTTGGCTCAGGTCATCATCTGTGGCTTATGAGTTAGAGCCCTGTGCCAGGCTCTGTGCTGACAGCTCAGAGCCTGGAGCCTGCTTCAGATTCTGTGTCTCCCTCTCCCCTGCCTCTGCCTCTCTCTTTCTCTCTCTGTCTCTCTCTCAAAGATAAAACAGCATTGGGGTGCCTGTGTGGGTCAGTCAGTTAAGCGTCCGACTTCAGCTCAGATCATGATCTAACAGTTCATGAGTTTGAGCCTCACGTTGGGCTCCCCTCTGGAAGTGCAGAGCCCTCTTCAGATCCTCTGTCCCCCTCTCTCTCCGACCCTCCCCCACTTGCGTTCTCCCTCCCTCAAAAATAAATTTAGAAAACATTAAAAAAATAAAATAAAAGTCTTTTGTAAAATAAATAAATAAACATTAAAAAAAAAAAGAACTACCTTTTGTAAAGATGTTCTAATAGCTGTATAAGGCAGGAAGGGAATGTAGACCCTAGGTGGTCCTGTTATTTCCAAGACCTCATTGTAAATTACATTTCTTTCTGTAGCCTCTTTTCTGTTGCCATGGCAACCATGCAAGGACTGGAAGGGACCATGCCAGAGGCTGGCCCTGGTAGGTACCAGCCGGACCAGCCTGCTGTTCTCCAGTCACATCTGTGGAAGAGAATGCCGGAGAAGTTTTTGAAGGGGGAGCCTAAAGTCCTTGGGGTAAGTCGGTTACAGATCTGGGAGAAGACCGATCGAGTTGTAAACTCACAGTTCATCAGTTTTAACAAATACTCCGTCCCATTAGCCTCATAATGCATCAGCCAGCCCTATGGACATGGGTATTTGATGTTCAGGGCCTATCACTCAAAAATGATATGATCTTCTGTTACATTTTGCTTCTTATTTAGGTGTGTTTAGAACACAGTGGCTTGGGATGTATTCTAGGGTTGCGGGTCATCCATGATAACTTTAGCTTCAGCAGAGAAGGGCAGCAAAAAAATAAAGGCCATACGTGTGCTAGCTGGTGTCCACCTTCCCGGTAGCTGATTGCCCTGCATTGTTACGATCTCTCGGGAATTTTCTTAGCCTGCTCCTCAGAGGTGGAAAACCCTTCAATTCCCTGTGCATTTCTGTTTGGAGTCTCAGGGCGGGGCAGTGTGCCTAAAAGAAACAGAGTTTAAAGAAAGATAGGTTAATACAGGTGGAAGGACAAGGAGTACAGACGTGTTCTCTAGACCAAGCTTTAAACCAAGGGGACAAAGTCATCGTGACAGTTTGGATCCTTTTTATATCTGGGGATAACTGTACTCCAGCACCTGTATTTTTAGACCCCTAGACTCACTCATATCCTCAGGCCCTAGACACCAGAACAATATCACATTACACTTCTCTTTTTCTTCTCCAGTACACACATTCCTTCCTTCACATTATTTTTCCTTGCTAGAATAATTTCTAATTGCTTCCTAATTCCTAGGTCACTCCTGTCTGAGAGGGTAGTGTGTAAAGGGGATCAACCGCTATAGTAGGAGTCACGGCCTGGGGAGGTCAGTAAAGTACCTCTGGGTAGGTCCTGGCCCATTCTTTTCACCTTGAAAATGACCGAGGCAACTGGGATAGACATCCCAAGAAACCACATAATCTAAGCTACATGTTAACCACATAAGTTAACATATCCGTAGTTCTTTATATGAAAGCAAAGAGACAGGAAAATATCAAGTCCATCCGACTCTTTCAAAAGATGGAGAAGAGGGGTACCCTGGTGGTCGGAAAGGGAGTCGTAGCTAATCAGTTTTTACTTTCTTCATTAATTCTAGGTCATGCAGATCCTGATTGCCACGATGAACCTCAGCTTGGAAATAATAAAGATGGGTGTCCCATTGTCACTTGCTCAGACACATTCTTTTTCACATTCTTTTTCAAGTCAGGATGTGAACAAATTTGTGGGGTCAGTGGTGGTGAGTATACCTTTTGATATAGTTGGAGACAACATAACATAGTTGCTAACATCCTGAGCTTTGAAATTATGTCCTAACCTTCTTTTGTAGTTCTCTAACTTTGAAAAAAGAGATCCAATTTCCTTTTGACCGCATTTTCTCATATTAAAACTAGGAATAATAACATAAGACTCCTAGAAAGCCAAGCAGATTAAATATTTAATACATATCAGGATATATCACAGCAGCATACAGCAAAAGACCCAAACCAGGGTGGATTAAACATTGAAAGCATTGATTATTTCACAGCAAGAAACCCAGTGGACTTTGGTGGACTTTTGGAACATTCCTCAGTTTTACTCATATATATTGTTCACATTCCTTGTTAAGTTTTTTTCACTCAGAAACTTTATATATTTTTGCTATGGCAATGAAGTTATCTTATTAAGTCTTATCTTTAAACACACAAATACATGTATATTTGTATATAATTTTTGTTTATATTGTTCTTCCCATGTGCTGTAATGAATTTTCCTAGAGTTTATAGTTGCTTTTAGTTGATATTATTAGAGGCCTGCAGTATAACATATTCATATTTAAATAGCAGTAATTGTAACCATTTTCCTCAAATATTTGTCTTACATGGCTATTTTGGTTAATATACTAAGGAGAGTAATACATAACCATCTACATCGTTATCTGGATTTTGACTTTAATAGAGATAGCCCTAGTGTTTCCCCGTTAAATACGACTGAGACACATGTTCTGTCATGTTACAGTAAATGGAGCTCTTCATATATTATGAATAATGGTTAAGTCAATAAGATGTTGAATTATATAAAATGTCTTAAAGTTGTAAACATAAATAACAATTACCATGTGAATTTTCTCCTCAAATCTGTATTTATGAATTACAATAATATATAATATTTAAAAATCTAGACGTTTGAAGAAATACCTCACGTAGTCATGATGCATCTCATATAACATGGTGGATGATTCTCCCTATTATTTTTTTCCAGAGGTGACTTAATTTACCCTAATCATCTCCATGTCTTGGTATTGAGAAATATTTGAAGGAATCTACCCAGCTGTTTCATTACATCAGTCTTTTTTCTGGTATTATGATACTATGTTTGAAACTCCTGAAATCAAATTTGGAAAGCAACCCAGAAATTCAACAGTCAAATAGTTTAAGACAGGGCGTCCAATCAATTTGACTCCAGCTGTTTAGCTGAATGGAAAATACTCAAATGATGTAGCCAAACAGAATAACATATTATAATCAGCATCTAATATGGAATTGAAAAACTTTCTTTGCTATTATTCCATTTACAACTTTTAATAGTCATATTTTTAAAAAGAAACATTAGGTTTTTTTAAATAAAATTTCTCTTTTTTTAAATAAAATTTCATTAAATTTGGTACCATATTAGGGTTCCTTATGTCAGCAATTTAGAAGCTTTCTTTATATTTCAACGCCCTCAAACAGTTTATATACCATTGCAGAGAGACATTGTTTTTGAAAGTCTTGATAAGTTCTCCTGCGAATCCATCTGGTAGAATTTCTCTGTTGTTTCTGGGAGAAGAGGGGAGTTATTTACAATCTTTGGTGCTTTCTTCCAATGTAATTGGTCTATTTAACATATTTATCCAAGGTAGGGGTAAGTATTAATAAGTTAGGACTTCAAATATTTGTTGAAAGGTCTTTTACCTGTATTTTTTTTCTCTTCTTACTAGTTTATTATTTCAGGATCTTTGTCAATTGTAGCAGGAATTAGAACTACAAAAGGTCTGGTGAGTAATATTTCCTTTCCTCATTTTTTGTTTGTGTGTTTCTGTTCCAAAAGAGGGATTAACCAAGTATGTATTCCACTAGAGTAGAAAACAGATTTTGTTTGTTTTTTTAAAAATCAGGAGATGGGGCGCCTGGGTGGCTTAGTCGGTTAAGCGTCTGACTTTCGCTTAGGTCATGATCTCGCGGTTCGTGGGTTCGAGCCCCGTGTCGGGCTCTGTGCTGACTGCCAGCTCAGAGCCTGGAGCCTATTTCAGAATCTGTATCTCCCTCTCTCTCTGACCCTCCCCTGCTCACGCTCTCTCTCTCTCCTCGAAATAAATAAAATAAAAATATTTTTTTAAAAAATCGGGAGAGGGGCGCCTGGGTGGCTCAGTTGGTTAAGCATCCGACTTTGGCTCAGGTCATGATCTCACAGTTTGTGAGTTCAAGCCCCGCATCAGGCTCTGGGCTGATAGTTCAGAGCCTGAAACCTGCTTTGGATTCTGTGTCTCCCTCTCTCTCTGCTGCTCCCCAACCCATGCTCTGTCTCTTTCTCTCAAAAATAAATCAACCCTAAAATTTTTTTAAAATAAATAAATAAATATTAAAAAATAAAAATCAGGAGAGATTGTAAGTTTTACATAGTTGCTTTGGTCTTTCAGAAATTACAGTAAAAAATGGCTGATCATACAATTATGATATGATATGGAAAGGCAGTTGCCAAGAGACCCTTTATGAAATGAAAGAGAATTCCTAAGAAGGAATGTCAAATGGTACCGGTCAAACAAAGCTTACAGCTTGAGAGTCAGCCCATAACAGTGGCACCAGTGTTGATGTGCCAAAATATTTATTGACTTATGGATTAAAGTGTGTATTCCAACTGTATACAGAAAGGGTTTCCTTTTGGTTTTCAGTGAAAGGAATTCACAATAAGTCTATTCAGTAAGGAAAAGCAAATTTCAAACATAACTCCCATGCCAATATGCCTTTCGTAAGACAAATAAAAGGCAAAAGCCCAGATCTTGACTAATGTTTTTGCTGGTTAAAGACCTTAGTTGGGTTTTCTTTGCTCAAAGGATAAAGATCAGACTAAGGAACACGATCCCAATGGTTTGTCCAAATCTGACCTCAGTCTGTCTCCCTAGCATCTTCTAGCATCCAGCTATAACCATTAAAATCACCCTCATGCTACAGCCACACTGAGCCTCTCATGCTTTCATGGAGAAGTTTAGCTCTTAGAAGGCTCCACAACTTCACCAAGAGAAGAGAATGTAGAAAAAGGAATACTGAGCAGAGGGAGGTCAAACACAGAAAGTGCAGAGGTGTGAGAGGCAAGAGACATTTGGAAACGAACAGCCAGGCACCTGAACTAGGGCGCAGTAGGAGTTGGGCATGGACAGATCTGTCCAGCTAGCGTGTGAAAAAGAGTTTATCTCATGGGCCTAGGGAACATCTGTGGGATTCAAACTTGGGAACAACAGAATCATATTTATGTTTGGGCAGGAGACTGCCTGGAAGGGCTTATGTTTCAGGGAAGAAGCAAGTGAGGAGATAGTCCAGTCATCAAGATAGAGAAGGGGGGAGTCAGTGGGGAGAGGGGCAAGAAGCAATGTGTGTCAAGTGGTTGATGGAGACAGCCCTGTGGATGCTGTTGGATTAGTGAATCGATTTTCCTTCCTTCCTAGATCCAAACTAGCCTAGGATTAAACACCTTCAGTTCTGTCTTGGCTGGAGCAGAGGTCTTCCTCACTATCCCCAACTTGAGTGAATTTCAAGCGCCTGTCTTCTCCTGCAAATTTCATCAGAGGTTGGAGAGTTGTCCCATGGCCATGTCCATTTTAACGGTGAGAACTCCCTCTCTTCATGGGGTACTGTAGGGGAAGCAAGTCGCAGGAGCCCTGGCCCTGGCCCCTGGCATCAGTACTCCCTAACTGACGGATGACTCACTTTGGGAAATTAGAAATGATTGAAGAATAGGGCCATCTTTTATTCAAGAGCCAGGCCCACGTCTCATCTCTATTTTTTTTTCCTCTATACATGATGAGGGAGAGTGGGAAGAAGGCTCACAGTCATAGAACACAGAACACCTACCTGCTCTTACTAGTGCATGCACTAAAGCATATTGAGGGTTTTTTTTTTTCCCTGTTTAATGCGAAACCACCAATTCTGCAATGCGCTCTAAAGCGGCAGACCAATGTCAGTCCCTCTGTGTCGCCAGGGCTCCCTGATGGCTTTACCTGCTTCTCTAATAATAGAGTAAAATGGTCTTGAACATTAGCCAACGGGTGCCCCTCCCCACATCTCTGGAGGTTCTTGCAAGATTAAGTACTTTGGGCCTCAGCACCCCGCTCCTGGCAAATTCCCAATTTCCACTCCGTATTTCACTACTTTGCTGTAGCACCTGCCCTCATTTACCTAGTATCCTAATGGCCCTGTTCCCCAAATTGCCGCTTCCACCAGCCTCCGTGGGTGGTGAAGCCTTGGGACCCGGGGTTGGCGTATGGAGGGGGCGCTACCACAGCACAGTTGTCATCAAATGCAATTGGATCTTTATTAAAAAGTCTAAGGGCACCTGGGTGCCTCAGTCAGTGAAGCGTCCAACTCTTGATTTCCGCTCAGGTCATGATCTCGCAGTTTGTGAGTTCGAATGCGGCCTGGGGCTCTGAGCTGACAGTGCCGAGCCTGCTTGGGATTCTCTCTCTATCTGTGTGTGTGTGTGTGTGTGTGTGTGTGTGTGTGTGTGTGTGTGTCTCCCCCTCTGCCTTTCTCTCTCTCTCAATAAATAAATAAACTTAAAAAAAAATTTAAAGCCTGTTATCCATTCTCAGCACCATGGAATTCCTGTTGTCCCTCCTCCTGGGGAGCTTCAGGCTTTTCCTTGGGCTGCATAGCCCTCTCCCTCACTGACCCTTGTCTTCACCTGAACGTGGAAACTTCGCATTCTTCTGAACTTATTCCGAACGCAGATCAGTGACGTTGCCTCCTCTTCATTTCTGAGCTAATCCTAGATAAGTCCTGAGTGGCGTCCAGTCACACCAAAATAATCTCTAGAGTGCCTCTGCAAAGCTAATTTATACTCCTCGTAAGATTTCTAGCAGTTCTTACGGAGTCCAAGTTTATTTCCCACCACTTCCTCAGAATCAGGGAATTTATCTCAGAGAACTTGTATGTTTTCCCCCAAGATCACCCCGTGAGAAACTGGCAAAAGCGTGATGAGATTCTGTGCTTTGCTGCCCCTGATGCCTCTATTTGTACTTATGTTTAATAGTGTTCTCTGTCATCACCATGAAGGAGGAGCCTACTTTTAGTTTCTGCAATTCTCTCCAATTAAGGTCCACGAGGGCACAGTAGACAAGGACAAAATATGGACTGGACCGGCTGCGTGGGGCTGGCTGCCTGGGTGTGGGACCCGCCAGGCACACGGGGCTTACCAGTTAGAAGAGCCGTACGCCTGGTTGATTGTGCTACTGTTCCCATCGTGAAGTTCTTAATAATTTTTTAACAAGAAGCCCTCTAAATAAAGTAGCTGGTTCCGCCTTCTTCTCCATCACCTTCTCCCGGAGGCTGGCACCTATTCCTATTGTGTGAACACAGTTTCTGCCTGAGTTTACAGCAGAGCAAATCCATGAGGGCTTCCTGGGATCTGAAGTATCTGGTCTGTTCGTACCGGGGCACCTGCATGGTCATCCCACAGGCCTGGGAGCTTGTACTTTATGGCAGTCCTACAGAGGGACGTAAGAATGACACTAGACTCTTACCCATAGGAAGCTCCTTGGAGGAGACTATAGAAATATTGGAAAGCACGGAGCTCCTGGGTGGCTTAGTCGGTCAAGCGTCTGACTCTAATTTCGGTTCAGATCGTGATCTCACAGTTCGTGAGTTTGAACCCTAGCATCAGGTTCTGTGTTGACAGTGTGAAGCCTGCTTGGGATCCTCTCTCTGTCCTTCCCCTGCTCACTTGCTCACTCGCTCTCTCTCTCTCTCTCTCAAATAAGCATTTTTTAAAAAGGTTTTTTTTAATTTTTAAAATGGTTTTATTTCTGAGAAAGAGACAGTGTGAGCAGGGGAAGGTCAGAGAGAGAGGGAGATACAGAATCTGAAGCAGGCTCCAGGCTCTGAGCTGGCTCTCACAGAGCCCGACGCGGGGCTCGAACCCATGAACTGTGAGATCATGACCTGAGCTGAAGCCAGAGGCTTAACTGAATGAGCCACCCAGGTACTCATTTAAAAATTTTTTAAAAAAAGAGAAATATTGGAAAGCCAGCTAGAGGTTGATGAAGGGCTTACTTTTGAATGTGATCTAAGAAGCGTTTAGAAAGGGTGAGCTCTTTGTAGGAATGAGTAGAGCACACAGTACCTGGAATCATTAGGCAGAACAGTATGAAATCACTAACGATCATCTCTGTTTGATCTAGAAAGACAGCGGCTTTATATGGCTCAAACTGATATATTATATATATACTTTTAGCTACTTTTTGTTGGAAGTCCAGCCTGGCCGCTCTTTTTGTAAATAATGTTTTATTGGAACATAGCCATACCCATTTGATTGCACATTGTCTATAGCTGCTTTTGTATTATAACAGTAGAATTGAGTATTTGTGACAGAGACCTTATGGGCTGTAAAACCTAAAATATGTGTTAGCTGGTCCCTTATAGAAAGTTTGTCAATTCCTGTCTATGCTACCAGATTGTAGCATCCTTGAGGCTGGGGAAATCATCTGTTTATTTGCGGTTCTGTCTTCTGTGCCCTTGACAATTCCTGAAACATAGAGGCTACACTATGTTGAACAGATGAGTAAATAGGTAAAGAAATGACAAATGCGAATATTCTCAAGGCTCAGTTGAGTCTGGGTCACTCATGTCCTGGGTTCTTGGTCTCTTGACTCTTCCGCAAAAAGATAGGTACTATCCCTATCCATGGAGAGAAAAATAATATTTAGACCAAAGAATTCCAGGCATCCAGTCCAGATTTTTTAGGGTAGTAAGAGGACTACCCAGTGTTTCTCAAATTTGACCATATGTTTTGGCTAAAGATTAAACCCAGAACCAGTTCTCTGGGGAGATGGATCACGGACTGACTAACTGGTATTCATTGTTACGTTAGTTTCTTCTTGTTGCTGTAACAGCCTATTGCCAATTTAGTGACTTGAGACAACATACATTTACCATCTTACAGTTTTGGAAGTCAGAATTTTGGAATGGTTCTCGCTCGGTGAAAATCAAAGTGTTGGCAGGATTACCTTCCTCTCTGGAAGATTCGAGGGAGAATCCATGTCCTTGCCTTTGCTGGCTGCTCGAGGCTGCCTACATTCCATAGCTTGTGATCCCGCCCTGTCTTTGAAGCAAGCAGTCCAACATCTCCAAATATCTCTTGGACTTTGGCTCTTCTGCCTCCTACTTCCACTTAGAAGGATTCTCTAACTATTTGAGGCCCCCCAGATAATCTCAGCATAATCCCTCCATCTCAAATTCAATTAATAAGCAGTCTTAATTTCAACTGCCAAGTGAATTCTCCTTGGCTATGTAACTAAACATGTCCAGAGGTTCTGGAGATGAAGATGTGGATCTCTTTGGTCTATTAATGTTCTGTCCACAACTATGACTCTGGCTATAACTATCAAGACAGGAGGTGATACTGCTATGGCAACTATATGGAGTTTCTGGTGTTCGAAAGAACTAAGTAACCTTTATGACCCCTAACCCTTCTCCCCCTTTAAATAGTTTTCACATTCTGTATCTACAATAGCACTGGAAGGTAAAGTGTGGGAAAAAGTGATTATTTCACTAATGGAAAAAATGGGAACGTAAAAGGTACTCAACAGGCCAAGCGTTGGCCAAGAGTCTGGCTGCAATTCGGAGTTGGTTTTCCCGACATCAGGCCAGTGCTTCTCTTTTGGCATGTAATCATTTGATTACAATTACAATGGTAAGCATTTTATTTATTTTATTTTTAAGTTTATTTCTTTTGGGAAAGAGTGAATGTGAGCTGGGGAGGCACAGAGATAAAGAGAAAGAGAGAGAATACCAAGCAGGCTCCGCACTGTCAGTGCCAACTCGGATGCTGGGCTCGAACCCACGGACTGTGAGATCATGACTGGAGCTGAAACCAAGAGTCAGATGCTTAACTGACTGAGCCCCCCCAGGTGCCCCAGATGGTCAGTGTTTTAAACTTGTCATCTCTCTTTCTCACGGTTCCTGGTGATGCATTTGTTCCTAGAGTCTGGATATCGTGGTGCTCCTTTTGAACATACTAGAGTTCTTCATTGCTCTGTCTCTATCTGCCTTTGGATGCAAAGTTACCTGTTGTAATCCTGGCGGGGTGAGTAGTAGGCTTCCCTTGAAGATGTCTGTATTAGTTTTCTATTGCTGTCTAGTACATTATAGAAACGTAGAGGCTTAAACAACACACAGTTACTTCTCAGCTTCCGTGGATGAAGAGTCTGGGCACACGTCAGCTGGTTCCCCTGCTCAGAGTCTGACATGGCTGTAATGAGCAAGCTGGCTAGGGCTGCGGTCTTGATGGAGCCCTCCCATCCTCTCCGATGCTCACCTGGCACAGTTTATTTCCTCTCTGCTGTGGAACTCATGGCAACTCACTTCCACTTTGAGTTCCAGCAAGAGAGTGAAAACCTGTGTTGCTTTAAATTCCTTTTAAAAAGTTCACGTAAGGGCAAGTCTATCTAGAATAATGTCCCTTTTTTTTTCATTGAAGAATAATTTTAAAAATTCTGTTTGTTTATTTATTTGGAGAGAGACAGAGCAAGCAGGGGAGAAGCAAAGAGGAGAGAGACAGAGAGTGAGGGAATCCCAAGCAGGCTCCCCACTGTCTGCTCAAAGCCCAGTGCAGGGCTCAAACCCACCAACCGTGAGATCATGACCTGAGCCGAAATCAAGAGTTGGATGCTTAACTGACTGAGCCACCCAAGCGCCCCTGATGTGTAATTAACATAGAGTGTTATGTTAGTTTGAGATGTAGAGCTTACTGACTTGACAGTTCTATTCATTATTCAGTGTTCACCACAGGAAGTGTGGTCACCATCTGTCACCATACATGGTTGTTCAATATAATGGATATATTCCCTAACTTTTCATCTTCATGACTGATTTCTTTAATAACTGGAAGTTTGTACCTCTTGATCCCCTTCATCTATTTTGCCCATCTCCCCATCCACCTCCCCTCAGGCAACTACAAGTTTGTTCTCTGTGTTTAGGAATCTGTTTTGTTTTGTGTTTTAGATTCCACATGGAAGGGAAATCATGTGGTGTTTGTCTTTCTCTGCCTTATTTCACTTAGCATAACACCCTCTAGGCCCATCCATGTTGTTGCAGATAACAGGATCTCACTCTTTTCTTATGGCTGAGCTGTGTTCCATCATATAAATATATCATATATACATATTTGTGCCCATCTTGTTTATCCTTATATTTATCGATGGAACTTGGGTTACTTCCATGTCTTAGCAATTGCAAATAATGTTGCAATAAACACGTATCTTTATAAATTACTGTTTTCGTGTTCTCTGGGTAAATACATAATATTGGAATTACTGGATCATACCGTAGTTCTATTTTTAATTTTTTGAGGAACCACCATACTGTTTTCCACAGTGGCTGCACCAATTTACATTCCCACCAGTAGTGTACAAGGGTTCTCTTTTCTCCACATCCTTGTCAACTCTTATTTCCTGTCTTTTTGATACGAGCCATTCTGACAGGTTTGTGAGGTGATATCTCATTGTGGTTTTGACTTGCATTTTCCTGATAGTTAGTGACATTAAGCATCTTTTTCTATTGGCCATCTGTATGTCTTCTTCAGAAAAAGGTCCAAAGAATAATATCCTCTTTGATAAGGTCAACTGATTGGTCACCTACTCACAGGAGTGATATCCCATCCTACATGGGTTCCACCCATACCCAAGGGGAGGGAATCACACAGGGGCATGAGTGACTCGGTGTCATTTTCACATCTTGCTGACCACGATGAATACAGAAAAGCTAATTTTCTCCATCCTCACTCCCCCAAAGGGCTTCCTCTCATAGTCCAGATCAGAGAATGCTTCATAATGGAGAGGAGCCCAGAGAGTGCCAGATTTTGACCCCTTACCCCTATCATAGCAACCTTCCATGGGCTACTGAAGAAAGTCAGGCTTTCAAATTTTTCTACCCATGTGCACACACCTGCCCATCTCTTACCCTGACACCCGCAGCAGATCTGACCAGAAAGAACATCACATAGAGAGAAGATTGGTACCTAGGATGAAAGAAAAGACCAAGAGGCACCAGGAAGAGTAGGACAAGAATCTCTTCCAAGAATTGAATTAAAATGCCGAGAGCTGCTCATTAGTCTTATTACCCAGAGACAAATCATGAGCTAGTAATCGTTTGACAAAATCATTTCTCTCTTGCGCTCCTCCACCATTTTGTGTCTCTTTACTTTCTTTTGGGGATTCCCTGCTTCACCACATGTCCTGCCCCTCAGAAGAGAGAGAGAATAACTCTATTAGTGGACTTCTGCATTGTAAGGACCCTAGAAGTTAAGAGTTTGCAGCAATTCCTAATTATTTTGCAGTTTCATTAAGTGAAGCATTTTACTTTCATTGACCAAAGCATTTGCACAAGGAAGCAATTCTTGTGTCATGATGTCTAGACCTGTGTTCCCTTCCGCTCCTGGTGATACAGGGCTGGGAAATGCTGCTCCCACAAATCTCTTGGTGTGGATCCAGAAGAGCAATGTCTTTGAGGCATGTAATGCCTAAGTTTCATCTCTTCCCTGTTCTATCCCACCCTCTGCCACATACAGACACACACACACACACACACACACACACGCACGCACACACACGCACACACGCACAATTTCACCCTGAGTTTGTGAAAGAAAGACCAGCATTTTCCTTAGTTTCCTGATGATTCTTTCCATTCTGGGTCAGTGTCATTCTTGAAATGATTGAGTCATGGCCAGTAAATCAGGATTTGGGTGTGTTGTGGCCATCATACATAAAGAACCTAATTTGGAAGAAGAGCTCTAAATTTCCCTTAAAACCTTGGTTTACTCAAATTGCTGGGCACCATCATCCACTTACTGGGTCACAGCCACAGCTGTCAGCATCTCATGCCAGGGGCTGTCACTGCATGTTTTTCGAAGATCCAGTCTTATCTCCAGAATGCCAGAGAACCACCACCAAGTGGATCTGGAGACCGAATTCAGAAAAGAGAGTAGGCTCTGATGATGATACGGCTCTTTGTTGACTCACTCGCCTGTGTCATTCTGGTTGATTTCACAGGTTGTGTTGATTCTGCCATCAAATCCCAACGTGGCAGAAACAACATCTCCCACACCACTTACAGAGGTCTGATGTCACCAACAGATCAACAGCAAAGTGTTCCAGAAAACCTATCCTGCCAGTTGTACAAGAATGCCACTTGGGAAAGTACCAGAATCCAACGCTGATATATACAGATCTATTTCAGAATCGTGTTCTCATTTTCCCCCAGGACCTCAACAATTCATTTACTTGCTCTTTATCAACAATAGCAGAAATTAAATAAATAAATCGTATACTTAATGAGTCAGTGGTGCTTGAAAGTTTTTATCTATCTTCAGAACTTTAGATAAGGACATTAAGTTGGTAAGTTAGATTCAGCAGAAAGTCAAAAAGATATTGCTGAAATGAGGGCTCCCTGAAGATTACATTTTTCTGCTTCCCTGGCCAATACTTCTCCTTCTGATTTAATTTTCTTCTCCTGCCTTTGGGAGTACAAGGTGGGTTTTTTGTTTGTTTGTTTGTTTGTTTATCTATTTTGAGAGAGAGCACAAACAGTTGAGGGGCAGAGAGAGAGAGAGAGAGAATCCCAAGTGGGCTCCACATTGTCGGCATAGAGCATAACATGGGGCTTGATCTTATGAACTGTGTGAGTTCATGACCTGAGTTGAAATCAAGAGTCAGACGCTCAATGGACTGAGCCACCGAGGCACCCCAGGAATGCAAGATGTTTTTACCTTCAGAACACTGTGACACATAGTTTTCCCTTCTCCTTCCTTTTCTTGTTTTTTTCTCCCATAGAAAATACCTTCTAATAGCACAGTCAGTCCTTGTATGCACACAAACCATTATTTGAGTGTAGGTACACATAGAATAAAAATCATTTCATGGATCAGATTGAATTTATATTTTTTATCTCTCTTCATCTTACTCTTCCTCCTTCCTTCCCTACCTTCTCTTTCTCCTTTTTTTTTTCTCTCTTCCCCTCCCCTACACTCTCTCCTATAGGACAGGATTACATCTTAATCAAATCTGTATCCAGTGCCATATATGCAATTGTGCAATACTTGGTATTTCCTGAATGTTCATTAAATACATTTGATTTATTACAGTGCAAAAATAAGTTAAATTAGAAACAATAAGTCCATGCACTCCCTACTTCCTAGTCGGATGCAATATGTTGGGTAGAGACTAAGTGATGAAAGGAAATGCAGTGTGGTAGTAAACAGTGGGGGCCTGTAAATCAAACAACCCTGCATTTTCATCTCGAAAATTCCATCTCTCTCAGCTGCCATGAGCAAGATGCCCATGGGCATATGACAAAATATCTCTGTGCTTCATATTTCTCTTCAGTAGAATAGTAATATCATATGGCTTCTCAAGCTGTGATAATCTAGGTAGAGCAGCTACTACTCTGGCACATACTGAACTATAGAGGGTTTTTTTTTTAATGTTTATTTATTTTTGAGAGCGAGAGAGACAGAACGCAATGAGGGGAGGGTGAAGCTGACTCTAACCCCCAACTTCTCCTATATCTGGGCAATGGCAGATTTACATCAACCCTGCTAAGCTGGCTGGTTCTGTGTCGTAGCTTAGTGACCTAAGAAAAACCAATTGTATAAATGACACATTTCCAATCAAAGCTAATCTCAGCATTTTTGCTTCTCACTGACCAGGAAAGAGAGTCTTCTTTTCTCTTTCCCGTTGGGCTTGGAACAGTGCAGATAAGAATCTGATACTATTAGCAATCATCATGCTACTATACGAGTTTTATCAGAGACAAATGCTTACAGAAGAGACCAACACTGAGGATTTCCAAGTGAAAGATTAGTCCCTAACAAGTCCTTTTAATTTCTGACTCAAGGTGTCCCTGGAATTGAGCCAACTTCTGGAGTCAAGCCAATCCCTTAAGTTTTAGACATATAAAGAAATTAAAATAGATCTGTTCAAGTAGAAAATCCTTCTATGGCTTCTTCTCTAATTCAGAATAAAAGCCAAAGCTCTTGGGGAACCTGGGTGTCTCGGTCAGTTAAGCATCCAACTTCAGCTCAGGTCATGATCTCACGGTTCATGAGTTCAAGTCCTGCGTCAGACTCTATGCTGATAGCCTGGAGCCCGCTTCAGATTCTGCGTCTCCCTCTCTCTCTCTACTGTTCCTCCACTCACACTCTGTCTCTCTTTCTCTCAAAAATAACTAAACATGAAAAGCCAAAGCTCTTACTAAGTCCTACAAGACCCTACATCACTTGATTCTTTGCTATTTCTTGGATTTTATAAAATACCCTATACTCATATTTGCTGAAATGTTGCTTAGAGTTTATATTAAATGGTCAGAGAGAGTCTTTGGTAAAAATGTTTGCATACATAAACCTTTTTATGTTTATATTCATATAAGCAATCTAAGAGTAGTGCATTTTCAGTTGTATAAAGTTTGCATGAACATTCCAGCCTATTAAAGGAAGATGTTATTGTTCTTACTTTTAGAGAAGACTGCTTGCATTTTGCATCATATCATTTTAAACTCAGTAACTTATAGGTCTGTTTCTATTGATTGGTTTTTCTCCTGGGTATTGGTTACTGTCATTTTTCTGCTTCTGGCATGTATAATAATTTTTTATTGGATGCTAGATGTAGTCATTTTTATGTGGTTAGCTGCTCACATTTTCTTTTTTCAGAGTATTACACTTTATTTCTGGGAGGCATTTAAACTTGTAGAGCAGTTTGATTCTTTTGAGACTTTTTTTCTAATCTAGATTTTTATTGTAGCAGAACACTGTAACTTATAAGTCTTTATAAGTCCTAAAACTTGTAAGGAAAATAAAGTATGATTTGTGATATTTTTCCTTTATCTTTCTTCTAATTATAATACTAATTCGCTACAGAAAAACCAAAAAATCTAGCAATGTATGAAACAAAACTCAACAATAATCCTACCATTAAAGATAAGCATTGTTAACTTACTAATGTATTTATATATATACATACATGTACATAAAAACTAAAAAAAATAGATTTTGGTTTATATGGCATTTCTAAGCCGATACATTAATATTTTCAAAAGCTTTTATAGGGAGGCTTTAGAGTTATTATTTTGAGCCAGTTTACATTTTTTAATGTTTATTTTTGAGAGAGAGACAGAGAATGAGCGGGGGAGAGGGAGAGAGAGAGAGAGAGAGAGAAACACAGAATCCAAAGCAGGCTCCAGGCTCTGAGCTGTCAGCACAGAGTCCAATGCGGGGCTTGAACTCATGGACCATGAGATCATGACCTGAGCTGAAGTGGGACACTTAACAGACTGAGCCGCCCAGGTGCCCCATATATTCATTAAGGCTTAACTTTTCTGGAGGTCCTTACATTCTAAGTGTTCTTAGGAGACTCTACATTCCAGGTTATAGGAACTTGAATGTCTCCCAGTTCCGTTTGAGTTCTGGTAATCATTTAGCTTGCAACTACCTATCTACCTGTTTATTCTTTGATTGGACTTTTGCAATTCCAACTAATAAATGTCAGCCTAGTATTTGACAACAAATTCAAGGGGACTTTATTGAAGGCTTAGGTAACTCTTATCTCTGCACAGCTACCTCCTGTATGGTTCTCCACTCACTAATTCTAACTGCCTCAGCTCCCTAAACCTTTGATTTCTGTCTCCTCAATGTAGCAAGATCAGCGGGGAGCCATTTCCCTGACCATGGTCTAGACAATTCTTTCGTGCAAAAAAACCTGACCACAATTGTTATATTCACATTTGTTTCCATTTTCTAAATGTTGAAAGCCCTGCATTGACTGCTGTCCAATGTGTGAAAGTAGTTGTTTAGAATTATTTCAGTTTTCTAATTGTACAGAGTAGTCTGCAGAGGAAGTCAGGTGCCTTGATGACAGGAAAAATTGATTTTTTTCCTTCAATTATAAAAGGATCCCTATAAACATAGATGTTTATATTTTTTATTTTGTTTTCCAATATTTAAAATTTATTCCAGGATGTCTAGATAGGTAATTTAATTAAATCAATACTTATCTGATCATTGAAAATATTCAGCCGTAGAGTTCAAGTGTAACAATTTTCATATGATCATTTTCTTAAGCCACCCTATTTATATTCCTTAAGAACCAGCTCATAGGGGTGCCTGGGTGGCTCAGGCAGCTGAGCATCTGACTATTGGTTTAAGCTCAGGTCATGATTTTAGGGTTGTGAGACTGAGCCCCATGTCTGGCTCCATGCTGAGTGTGGAGCCTGCTTGGGATTCTCTCTCTCCCTCTCTATCTGCCCCTGCCCTGCTTGTGCTCTCTTTCTCTTTCAAAACAAATAAATAAACATTAAAAAAAAAAAAACCTAACTCATAAAAGACACATGTACATTTCAGTTGTTATTTTATATTTAAGTTCTGATATTTTCCAATGTCTTTACCTAGTAATATCTGTACTGTGTTGATCAGTGTTCAGAAATTTTGGTTTTCACTCAATACAAATGGTGGTAATATAATGAGACAAAGCTATTGTCTCAAAGACAAATTTCTGGGCAAATATTTAAATTTTTGAATTAATCAAAATTTCCTTGGTTTGACTTTTTTTTTAAATAGTTGTATGATAAACACAGAAAAGATATATGAAGACACTTTCTTCTGATTTCATGGTGTATAGGGGAAAAAATATGACTCCTAAATTTGAGATATGGTGTAAACAAAGCTGACAATGTGTTTGACTTCCTTTGGAACCTCTTCAAGGTCAACACTGTTTTTTACTGACTGCTATTTGTTAGGGTTGCTTCAGTTCATGGGATTCTCAGGAACATAACTAATTTTGATTAACTTGTAGGCCTAAAATTTAGACATTTTTTTCATGTCCAATAAGTATGGACATCAGGCAAAGAAAGTTCTGAAAGTCCCTGTGGTTGCCCCCTGATTACCCACAAATGTGGATGTTCCCATTTTCATCGTCAATGTTAGCAAAGTGTGATATTTTCCCACAGAGAAAAGGTCAGACAGCTTGTTCCAATTCTTCTCAGTTACCACATACAGCTTCACCAGAATCACCCACTTCTTTTTTAGTTTTAAGTTTTATTTATTTTGAGAGAGACAGAGAAAGCATGGGCAAGGGAGGGGCAGAGAGAGGGGGGGAGAGAGAGAGAATCTGAAGCAGGTTCCCAGCGAAGTCAGTGAAGAATCACCCACTTCTTGGGTGGACTTCTGCTGGGCCAGGTGGACTGACTGTCCAGAGGAGGAGAGGTCAGGCTCGTGGAGGGTCAGGCAGGCACCTCATGGAGATTTGCAGCCCAGCCAT